CACAAACATATTCATGATTGTCCAATGTTATGCTAAATTCCTTAATGAATGTTCCATCGCGCTCTTGAAACTCCGTTCGCGTTATTGTGTGCCTCTTCGCGCTAATGATAATGCTTTTTCGCTTGAATGAATATTCCTTTGCGGTTAATGAACAGCAAAAGGTGTATAACATTTATCTAAATCTAAACATCTTGACATCTAAAGTTCAACAGGTGATCTTGGGGAACACGCGCAAAGGATTGTCGTAGTTGATCAGGCGGTCCTAGTTTCGGTTGTTTATCAGCGAACAGAGAGCTATCATTTCATGATAATGTCATAAAATAATTGAAACCACAATGCATTTCACCATAGGTATTCGTTATAAGAATAGGTAGAATTTTAAATGGTTTGCAATTCCCTAACGTAGCTATGGAAGCAAAGATTCAGAGTAATTTTTTCTGACTTCGGTCGCCATGTTTATTTCGATGGACTGCCTGATCAGATTTCTTCCTGCATGATGATAGATCATAGATAATCATAATCCGAGGAAGGACTAACGTCTGAAACGTCAGTTTCACAAAGCTTTTTACAGTGATCCAATTTATCTACGACTTCCTACTGATAATCATAGAGTTGCTTGTTGGTTCTCTCCTGTGCTTCAAGGGTTTTTCTCTTGGTTCTCCAGTTTTTGTCTCTCTGCAAAAATCAACGTCTAAATTCTAAATCAATCTAGAAATGGCCTAGATGAAAATTACTCTGTGTAAAGATTACACTTTTTACTTGCCATCTGACCTCTGATTGGCTGAGAGCATCCATTCTCCTATAGAGGATAACTTATTATCTACATGCAGTTTCTTGATCTTTGTGATTTATCAAATTATGTTTATTGTCATGTAATAATCATATAATCCTTGATAACCCTCAGGAAATGAAGGTATCCTGTGCAGTCCTCCTGGATCAGTATGGCATCGTTAATTCATTAATGGAATTGCTAGACTTGTGTCAAGCTAGTCTGTTACAGCTAGGAAGAACAGTTCCTGAACCAACTACCCCAAAGTAAGTTCTTCCGACATCATTATACAACCTTACTTACAATGCTTCTCAATAGCATGCTTAATGCTACTTGTAGGTTTTAGTGGATGTGAATCAAGGTGTTTCCATGACAATTCTAGACACATGCCCTTGAAGAATTTTTTGAAAATTTCATGGGAATAGAGCGTTTTCATGTGATGTCACAGCGGCAATCTTGGTGTACCAAAACCATACATGTCCTATCTTCTGGGAATATTGAACTTATTTTCAAAAACTGTGCAGAAAGTTTCTACTCTTTGGTACACCAATATGGCTGCCTCGTCACATGAATGAAGACGCTCTATTCAGCTTATGACGAAGTAAAAATCAGAAAAGATTCGTAATCAGAGTCGCAAGTTTATTTGAATCAGAAAAATCAGAATATTCTTTTTTTCCTCTCACTTAGGAACTTTTTGATCTAAAGGGACCTCTTTTATTTACTTCTTTTGATTTATTGAATTTCTTCAGCCTAGAAGCAGATGAAAAAAAGGATTAACGAAAAAAAGTAGAAATTTGTTATTGAGGAAAAAGAAATATCAAATCAAGAGATCTGCTTCCTCTTATGATAAGCGGTTTTCACTAGCAATTTCACACATGAACTCGTATTATTTAAATCCAGCCAGTGATTAAAATTCTGTATCTGAAACACTGGATGATACACTAGGACGGAATGAGGCTGGAATCAGATCTAGTTATTACAACTCCAATAACCAAACAGTAACGATAAAAAGGTAAATTATACACCGTAAAAAGATGAAAAAACTTACTGACGTTCCAACGACGGACTACCGTCCAAAACATCAGTAAGTTTTTTCATCTTTTCACGGTGTATAATTTACCTTTTTATCATTTGTACTGTTTCATTAGAAACATCGACGCAGCTGACGCTAGTTTTTAGCTAGTTATCTCTTCGATCTCTATCCATTGCGTTTCAGAGAATTTGCTGTGGCAACGAGATATAATTTATTTTCAAGAAAGTAGACCATTTTTTCTACTCCACTACCTCGTACTACTCATGCGTATATTACATTTAAGGAATAGTCATTGCATACCATGCGTATATCAAGTTCTGGATGCACGCCGTAGGTTGCTAAGCAGGAAAGAAGAGCAAGAGCTACACAAGGCGTATTTTATTATGTCAATAGCTTATCTATTCTATTTTACTCATAGATGGTTATGTCCTCTTTTTCTGTTATTGGACCTTTATGAGAAGACTGCTCTCTCATCAGAGAGGAAAAAAATTCATGACAAGGTAACCAGTCTTGAACCAGTTTTTTCTTAACCTCGGAATAGTTAATATTTGGAAAAATAAACTTTTTTAAAATTAACTTCTGCCGTTAGGACTTTATTTTAAAAAATAAAGAAAAACCACTAACTCTTCTAAGTTTGACTGGCAGACTTTTAGGACAGCACAATTTTTCTTGATTTTCTGAGCCCGGTTGTACGAAGCCTGCTATCCGACGGATAAATCTTATCGAGTGAATAAATTTATTGGATAACAGCATCGACTTATCCACTGGATGGAGACTTATCCGCTGGATAGCGCTATCCAGGGTTAGTAAAAAAGTTTGCGTTATCCTAAAAGTCTGCTCAAATTCTTTAGCAAGATTGTTTAACCATGGTTTTGATATGGAGTTCATTTCAGCTGGGTGTCTGATATTGTTTTGAGTGTTTGCTTTTACTGTTCTACTACAGTTTATTGCTCACTTGAGTGTTCATATCATGTTATTCATAGTGTACTACTCGTACTTGGCGCTGGTTTGATGACCGTAGTGGGCGCTGGTATGCCTACAGTGCTACTAATAATGAGGCCATTGATGCAGCCTATAGAAATGGAGAAACCAGAATAAGGTAAAACTAGTACGTCATGATGATTGGGCGAAAACTGTGCTTTATTACTGAACAGTGAACGGGAAAAGCGGGTTCCTTCGTAATATATATCACTGTTTTCATTGCTACATGCTGATCTTGATAAAAGTCATGAAAGTAGTATTTTTTTGTTGCCTAATGTTCTTAACTGTTGTATTTTTTGATCCATAGGTTTATGGCTGGAAGAAGGCCTTACAATGTAAACTTTTCTACAATGCTCCAGGTTGGTATATTCGGCCAAACTCGATATATGATCAATATTGTATGATCCAGGTTAAGAAAATCCTAAATTATACTGCTTGATGGATATTGACATGATAGAGTGGGAAACGCATGGTATATTGACTTGTAGTTACAGTTGGGTTAAGATAGCATGTGGTTATAGTTTGACTATGAACTTGCTGTATCTTACCTCGTACAAAACTCACTCTAATTGCCCGCTTTTTGTTTTCTCAAATAAACCCTAACCAATTCAAATAGGTTAGAGCTTTTCTCCGGGGTCATACATGGACTGTATAGCGGCAGCCAGAGGTGACTTCACATGTTTTCATTTCGACCTGTCGAGCTGCGCCACTTCTGTACTTTGCAGCGGGGATTAGCGATAAGTTTTTTTAATGACAAGTTATAGATGTTCTTGAGAGTGCTTAGGATATTTACTAAATATGATGATTTCTTTGTTTCATTTTTTAGATCAATGAGGATACTGGTAGTCGCCGACCTATCATGCTGGGAAGCACATACGAGTCAACTGCTATCACTTGTAACCACAGACCCAATCAGCCGTCAAATGGATCTTCGACAGGAAACGGAGAAACAACTCAACGACAGAAATCTTTAGGGAAGACTCCGAAGAAGGCTGAAGAAAAGCCAGGTAACTGGAGAATTATCACTTCAAAATAGATACTTACGTGAATGTTTTCCCATTTTAGACCACATGTCATTCCCTAGAATATCATTTTTTGCTTAACAGTTGTGCATCAGAAGACACGTCTTATTCTCTAGCGAATGTCACATGGTCTGAAATGGAAAAACATTACACTAATGTTAAAGCAAATAGGAGACAGAATAGGATAATTTTCTATTATCATCCCTCCTCCTAAATGTCCCTTACGGAGCAATATGTCGTACTGTAAAGTAAGCGGAGTCTTTGAGGGTTGTTCCATACTGATTTATCCTCCTAAATGTCCCTTACAAAGCAATATATTTAATGTAAAGTAAGCGGAGTCTTTGAGGGTTGTTCCATACTGATTTATCTTATTGAAAACAGGAAAATCCAAAGAAAGTGAAAAAGAGGTGGCAGATGAACGAATAGTCCAACGCTTGAATGAATCGCAAAAAACTGCAATAATCAGGTAAGAAAGACTGAATTCAGGGACAAATCCTAAATACTTTCCAACGTTTAATGTTAAGCATTAGTTAAACTGCTTGTCTCAAACATTCTTTTCTGTTGGCAGGTTTAATTGAACATGGGCATTTTTGCAGATACCTAAACTTTGAAATGTTTTCGATCAAACCCTCCAATAACCTCTGGGCTGATCAAAGCCAGGGCAAGGTTAACTTAATTACAGATCAAACCCTGAACAATCTCTGACTGATCTAAGTCAGGGCAACTCACAGATCCAATTCTGATTTAAGGCCCGTTTACACAGGCGATTTTTTCGGCGATTTCCACTGCGATTCTTGCAGAAAAATCGTCGAAAAATCGCACTAAATTCGAACCTGTTCAAAATAGTGGCGATCCATCGGCGACGTGAATTTATCATATCGCCTCAAAATCCTCAGAATCGCCGGTAGTTTACAAGAGCGTGAATCGCCGCAAGAATCGCAGTGGAAATTGTGCTGCAAATTGCCGAAAAAAATCACCTGTGTAAACGGGCCTTTAGGGTGTCGGATTTTGACAAGGGGGAGGAAAAACAGAAAACCCTTTTAATCAAGGAAGACTGAGACCAATTCTACTCGTGATATATAAACTGTAATAAATCGTCTTCTTATTACTGTTTTGTTCAGGTGCTGTGCTGTACTTATCAGTATACCTGTCAATAATAATGCACTCCATGCAGCCCTTAGACTCTGCCTTCGAATCACCCAAGAACACAAGTATGCTGTCCAGTTTGTAAATCAAGGAGGCCATAAGGCGATCATCAGCCTGACACAAAAGTCTTCCTTCCCTGGATTCACCTCAATCACTACTCTTCTCCTGCACCATGTCCTAGAAGACTCGCCCAATCTACAGCACACGATCGAAAAGGTCATCCGTTCGGTTGCAGTCAACGGCGTGAGCAATGCTGCCACAGGGGTCAGTTTTAACTCCGTTGGAGCAAAAGAAATCAACTACGTGTTGCGTTTGCTCGGCCCTGCTGCAAGTAGGAACCCTGAACTTTTCAAAGAAGCTGTTCTCAAGGCGATGCAATATACAATAACTCCTCAGTTAAGAAGGGTTTTAGTTGAAGGAGCTGATGTTTTCTTGCCTTCCAATCACCCTCAACTGGTCAAAGTCTCACCAGGCTACAAGCTGCAAAAACCACCACTTCTCTGTGATTCTGTCCGGGAAGTTGTTCGTGATCTTCTAAACGCTCTGTGTGCTCCATCCGATGCTGCGTCCAGGGCAGGTGGAAGAATGGGATCGATATGTGTGCGACGTTCAGACAGTCAGATGCTTGGAGAGTTTGGAAGAGCTCTGGGACAAATTGGGGACATGATTGACAGGTTTAGCACCAATAACAGGGAAGAGACATTGAGTCCTGGCCACCCATCGTACGGAAGACAGATAACTAGTGAAGATACCGTGGTGGATAGTGAGGAAGCCAACATAGGTAATTTTTCAACAAATACTACTCTGCTTCCCAGTAGATAGACTGAGGCAGTCGTGATTTTTTAATCCCCTTCGTAGCGATTGTTTTGTTGAGTGCAAGTGCTTTTCCAATCGACCCTGTAATGCCTATGTTGTACCACGTGGACATGTGATAAAAAATAACCGCACTTCGGTCATGTGAAAACGTGTCCACGTGGTACAACATTGGCATCACGTGATCGATTTGAAATGCACTTGCGGTTAACATAACAGACGCTACGAAGGTGATAAAAAGTTTTCACAACTGTTTCGGTCTACTGTGAAGAGTAATACTTAGTAAGGCAAAGCGCCTTTACGTTATCAGCAGGTATGCAAATCCCTCTCATTGAACTCTCCAATTTAAGGATAAGGTCTATGGGGTAAAGGGTGGGGTTACCCAATATCCACGACCTTTGAAAGAAAACTCCTGCATTCTGGCATCAGATATCTCTAAAACTAAAAGTCAAATCAGAGTAACTAAGTCAATCTGGTAACTGTTTTAACCATCGTTTTGACCCTTACATATCATTGTTTTGGCTCCTTACATATCTTCGTGCTCATGAATGCTTACCAAAAACCTTGTTCACGCAGACTCACAACCCGATGGTCAAGAACCATCAACTTCTCAGGCTGAAAAACCAAAAGAAAAGACCAAAGATGTCTCAAAAGAGAAAGAAAGCAAAGAAAACAAAGAAAAAGAAGCAGCTAGTAAGCCCTTGCTGACCAAGTCGGCTATTCTGAGGATCTTGGCAGAGCTTGTCAAGACTTACGGAGGTGTGGCACAACTTATCACGGAATATACCTACTCTCCACCATCACTTCCTGGGGAAAAACAGGTTAGTATCAGTCTCATTGTTGCATTGGTTGTGGGTAATAATGATGTGAGAAAATCAATACACCAGTTTCACATTCAATGCATTACGCTGTTTTTGAAGACCATAGATTCATTTGCACAGGATTAGCCTCGTTTATAAGTCAGCTATCCACAGATACCATAAAAAGTTCATGGGAGTTTAAAACATTGGTATTGTTCAAGCTGCACATTCTTTACATTACAGTTGACATTTGCAAATGATTTACTCTTACGCGAGGCTAAGACTGCGGAGATGAGTCTTCAGTCTTAAAACACAGCCGTATTTACGGAATGAGAAAAGGGACTATTACAAAAGTTCTGTTTCCAGCGTCTCTACAAAAGGGGATTTAGATTTTCTTTGGCTAGAAATACGTATTGCGGTCTTGCAGCATTATTACAATGCTGTAGCTGTATTGATGCATTTTAAGTTATTGAATTATGAAATTTAGCTTTCGCTTTCTGAAGGTATCCAAATGTAACCATTACAGTTGAAGCACACTTACTGTGACTACTAACTAAAACATGGCGTTCGTATATAAGGCGGGTGGATATAATAGTAAATGCATATCACCAGGATAATATGAAAGTGTCTGCTAGTACACCGCTATAACTGGTATTCGATTTAAGGAGGCTTCAAAGTAACCCCTTTAAATGACCCAGCTTTGTGTGACCCATCATGGGAATTATCTTTTTGTGGTATCAGATAAGCCAATTTTATTTTTTTACATCCTACTCTCAAACTTGATGTAATGACTGAAGTTTATATTTAGGAAATAAACCCCTTGCATGTGATGTCAAAGCAGCTCAATTTGGAGGACAAAATAAAAGAATTTCAATCTCCTGAGAATGGGAAACCTATGTCCTCCAAATTGAGCTGCTTTGACTCATCCTACTCTCAAACTTGATGTAATGACTGAAGTTTATATTTAGGAAATAAACCCCTTGCATGTGACGTCAAAGCAGCTCAATTTGGTGGACAAAATAAAAGAATTTCAATCTCCTGATAATGGGAAACCTATGTCCTCCAAATTGAGCTGCATTCCCACGTGCTGCACGGGGTCTATTGGTTTTGACTTCCAGTATACTCATCATTGTATTTTTCTTTATTTTCAGTACGAAGGCCCAGTACTTGCTTATATTTTCGACCACCTTCTTATCTCCCATCAAAGTAATACAAGCAATGACTCCCCAGCGTTTGCCCGCTTGCTTCTTGCTGTCATAGCAACGTGTAGTCAAGCTCCTGAAGCGCAACATATCTTAGTTACAGAACTGAAAGCCTCTTTAGAACGTGCCCTGGCTTTACCAGAATCTCCTGGCAAACACCACCGTTTGCAGGCACTATTTGGGCTTATCCAGACTATGATCGACTCCGGGTCACGCCAGCCTCAACAGGCCTTAGTTCAACCCCCAAACAACACCATGAAGCTACTCACCAAACGAGGCTTGATTACTGACCTTGCCAGGGTGACCCACAGTCTCGATCTTGGAAGTCCTTACCTGGTTACTACTTTGAATGCCCTGCTGAAGCCGTTGGAAAAGCTCTCGAGTATCGTGAATCAACCCACGGGGGGACCAAGCACAGCTCAACCTAAGGCAGGTACTCAGTCTACGGGAGTAGGGACCAGGGATGGTGCGAGTACTACTCAAGAAGGCGCTACTGATGCAGCCACTCAGGAAAATCAAGGTAAATAATGATCAGACAAGAGTACAGGTATCATATAGAGGATATCACATGGACGCACGGAGATGCGGATTTTATCGCTATCCTTGTTAAGAATAAGGAGTGTTAGGAAAAGAAGATTATAGATTAGATTTCCCATGACTTTGGAATAGCACGGTCACAGTACGTTATTTAAGGCACCCTCTGTACAAATCACAGTGCGCCAGATTGCTGTGAGAAATACGGCTTTTATTGATTTTCATGTATGTATTTCCAAGGTACAACAACTGATAGCGCAGAACAAAGTCAAGCAAGTCAGGTTCAGACCCAAGATGCCGATGTACAAGCAACGCCAGGTATGAAGTTGTTGTTGCTCAATAAAAACCCAAGCGGGAGGGGGGTGACTCCAGGGTAAATATTGGATATCGTCGTATCTCTTAGGGGTAAAAATCGGCCATTTTGTATCTTTTAGTGTGTTAAATTTGAATATTAGAATTCCGGCATATCTTGGTATCTTTTAGGGTTACTGTCTCTTAGGGGTTGGTATAGAGTATTTTTTGTAAATTTCCAACGAGCATATGCGATACTTTTATGTTATTTAAATACTCCAAGGAATGACACGTGTTCTGTCTATTTATCGAGTCAACTTTATTTCTTTGCAGAACTCAGTGAACCGGAGGATACACAGGCCTCGGGTGGTGAACTAGAAGGCGAAGAAAGTGTAGCTGCTTGGGATATGGGTGTGTCAGGTCATGCTGTTGTCGTCCCGTCATCCAGTGCTGAAGATGACATAGACCATCAGGACATACAAAATATCGTGGATGAACTGCTTCAAAGAGGGCCAGAAAGGCAAAATTCACAAGGTGGGAACAACTTTGATAAATGCAAACAGCTGATCTGAAAGAAATAGTGACGTAGAAATGACGTCACTACAAAACTAGGTGTCATGAAATAGTGACGAAGAAATGACGTCACTACAAAACTAGGGGTCATGAAATAGGGACGTAGAAATGACGTCACTACAAAACTAGTTGTCATGAAATAGTGACGAAGAAATGACGTCACTACAAAACTAGGTGTCATGAAATAGTGACGAAGAAATGACGTCACTACAAAACCAGGTGTCATGAAATAGTGACGAAGAAATGACGTCACTACAAAACNAGGTGTCATGAAATAGTGACGAAGAAATGACGTCACTACAAAACCAGGTGTCATGAAATAGTGACGAAGAAATGACGTCACTACAAAACTAGGTGTCATAAAGCCTGCAAAAATTAACCTGCGAAAAATATAAAAACGTGCCCACAATTAATTATTTTGTCACTGTTATCAAGGGCTTAATAGCTTTTTTTTATTATTATTATTTGCTGGCCTGGAAATCCATAATTTCAAGAGAAAAAGTGACTACTCAGTTTTTCAAATTTTCTTAATTCTATTGGCCAACATTTTCACTCACATCAGCTAAAATCCTTTTGGTATAATTTTATCCATCTCCTTCCGTTATCTGATTTCACCCCATTTAAAATGGTAATGATGAAAAGGTAAATTAATTATTTTAAATTAATCATTACTGTTTCATTAGAAACACCGACGCAGCTCACACTAGTTTTTAGCTAGTTATATCCCATTTAAAATGCTCAATTTCTAGATTTCCGGTTTAACCTAGTATTTTTCTTGGATTTTAGATCCAGAGATGAACGTAGTATCTGAGGAAATCGTCACACAACTTCATGTAATGGATGATGGTGGGGACGACGATGAAGAGGATGACACTGATGTTGATGATGACAGCGGAAGTAGCTCCACTGATGAACAATCAGATGGTAACCATAGTGACAACGGAGGTGAAGATACGATGGTGATAACCATCGAACGAGCTGGAGACCAGGGCGAGGAAAGCAATGATAGAAGCCACCTGGATGACCAACATGGTAAATTTGATGCAAATACAAGACTCAAGCTAAGGACACACGTTGCAAACATTGCGCGCAGTGTTGTGGGCAATCGAGTCGCGAGCCATGTCACACGACGTAGTTTGTTCCACGCAACGTTACTGAAGTAGAAAACGATCCTACTTCAGAAAGATTGCCTGCAATATTACGCGCAATGTTTTACCTGTTGTTTCTTCGTTTTGTCTGTCTATTTATCTGTCTTAGTTTTTTTATGTTGATTGGTTGGTTTGCCGTACGGCCTGACGATCGGTCGGTTGATCGCTTTTTTCCTTTATAGTGATAATTAAGGGACCCAAGGGACACATTAAACAGATCGCGCGTTGCACGGTCTCAAAATTTTCACCATAACACAAAACTCTTTTCAATGGACACCAGGCAAGGTCCTGACACTTAATAGAGTAATGTGCGTATTAATGATGATGTCTGTGTTTGTTCTAGATGATGTTGACGATGAAGAAGGAGTCATAGTGACCGGTGCTGATAATGGCGATGAAAATGTGATAGTGATGGGTGAGGTAGACGACGGCGATGAAGACATTGAGGACGAAGACGATGACGACGACGATGATGATGGTGAAGATGATGATGAAGGTAGCGATATGGAAGAAGAACACCACCCAGACATGATGGAAGATGACTCTTTTGCCGTCTATGAGGATGATGATATGTTTCTGCACATTAGAGATAGTAAGTTTTGTCATTCCTATTATATTCAGGGTTCGTGCTACTCCTTAAACTCCTTGAATTTAACTCACGTTTTCAAGGGCACTTGAAAAGCTCTTGAATTTTATGATTTTAGCGAAACTCCTTGAAAACTCCTAGAATTTTTGCTTTGATCATTACTTGCATGGTTCTAAAATAGATCTAGTCAGAAAGATTGGAAAATCTGAAAGTCGGCCATTTGCAACCACCGTGTAAAACCTTGGCATATTTAGCTGAACATACTCCTTGAAATATCATTTTTGGGTCCATGTATACTCCTTGTGTAGTCCTTGAATTTTAAGTGGTTACCTCAGCACGAACCCTGTATATTATACAAGTAGATTTGAAAACTTTGAACACTTTATGCTACATTACAGTGCTTCTCAGTAGCAATTGCGGAATCGTCGTCGAAAAAGGTCTTGTTAGACATGAGTCAAGACGTTTCCATGACATTCCTTGCGGACGTCCCCTTACGTCCGCTAATACTCCCCTTCACAGTTCCCTGCGCCATCTTGAAAGGGAGCCGTGCCTTTGCGTTGAAGCGAGACGAACGGTGAGCTTGCAATGATAGACACATGTGAATATTTGTCCAAGGTGTTAAAAAAGGTCTCTACCATTACAAGCTCACCGTTCGTCTCGCTTAGATGCAAAGGCACGGCTACCTTTCAAAATGGCGCAGGGAACTGTGAAAGGGACTATTGTCGCGAAAGGAAATCGTATGATTCCGCTCGTGCTATCGAGAAGCACTGCAATGCTAAAAATTCATGTGTCTACCATTGATAAGAAATCTGAGCGAATGATTGAATCCAGTCAATGATTAAAATTCTGTATCTGAAACACTGGATGATACACTAGGACGGAATGAGGCTGGAATCAGATCTAGTTATGACGACTAAATAGATGAATTTCCATATTCTGGTCGAGTGATCAAGCACAAAACAATCTGAGTCGAGGCAAAGGGGAAACAATATAGTGTAACCTTTATTATTCTTTTGGCTTTTCTTATAAATTTGGGAATAAGTTCAATTTGGTGCTTGTACGACGGTGGGACTCGTGAATTATGTAGAATGTAGGTATCTCCCTTGATTTTAGGGTTTTGCTTCGAGTTCTCTGGTTATCGTCCCTCCTCAAAACCCAACCAAATTCCAATTCGAACTTTAAGTTAGCCATGCCCTTACTGAAATTGCTTCCCACCGGTAGAAATGAATTCCAATCGTTTCCACTTAGACACGGCTTAGGGAAACTTGATTTCAAACTTGATTTCTTGACTTGAATTAGATGGTGGAGCCAGTAGAATCACAGGGGAGTTGTTATTATCCACAGTACAAGATGATGAATCTGATGCAGGAGTTGTACTGGGGCTGGCTGGTCAAAGACATCGTGGTCTACCAATACGACATCACAATGGTGGAACAGACATATTTCACATTACTACTGGTAACAACTATAGACATATTAACCATTCAGAGGTTGAGGGGGAAATGGGTCGAGTTGGTATTAGAGTGCATTGTGGGACTCTAAAGGGAAGAAATAGACGCCACTTTGAAAATATGTACTCTTAAATAGTCTCACATTGCACTGCATTGTCAACTCCACCCTGTTTTTCCTCAACCTCGGAGTGGCTATTACTTATTTCTTATCACTGCCTAGAACGTCTGGGTTTTTACTTCCGTCGACTAAAACGAAATCCTTTGAAATTTTATCGCCAGAAGCCAAACTCCTACTTAGGGGAGTGGGCTGCGTAAGAGAGTACAAGAAGCCCAGACCTATAGCCAGTTGTTAGATAGGTTTATTAGGGCTGCATCACAGGCTTTTTAGTCGAGGGTAAAGTAATGTTATGTCATGTGCTTGTCTGCATTGCAGGAGGTCATGAAACACGATTGTTAGTGGGAGATGACGGGCAAATGCGTGAAATCACTGATGAAGACGGTATTTTCGTAGATGGCTACAACGAGAGTACCAACTCAATCCCCTCAGCTCTCAGTCGTTGGTCCGAAGAAAGCCAAATCCTTGACCCGGAGAGCGTCCACTACTGTGTGGCTGCACTTAAACCGGAAGTTTTTCCTGCTTTCGAGAAGCGTCTCAGTGTGGACGTCGAGAAAGAAAAGGTGGAAGAGGCCAAAAAGAAGAAAGAAGCTGAGGCTAAGACTGCTGCGAAGAAGAAAGAAGATGAAGAAGCAGCAAAGAAGAAGGCAGAAAGTGAGGCAGCGGCGGCGGCAACAGCGGCGGCAGCTAACCAACAGACGTCAGAAGATATGCAGGTAGATCAGTCATCCACACCACAGCCAACGCCTGTAGCAGCAGACGATGGCTCTAACACCTCTCTACTAGTATCGATGAGTATGGATCACGGTAGCGATAGTGAACCTGCCGTGCATACGTCTACGCCAAGAGAATCTGAACCAGCTCCTTCAAGTGCAACTGTAGATGTCACTGAACCAGCATCTAATGCACAATCCTCTGCACCTCTTGATGGCCAAGTCAGTAGGCTTACACCGCCTGTTGCTTCGTCTTCTGGTGTTGGTACTGATGGTCAACCAGAGGGTGCGACAGGGGAGGCAGGGGCATCGTCGTCAGTTGGTTCTCCTATGACGTTAGGTAGTGATGTATCTGTGACATCTGATAGTGGCGCTCAAGGTCAAGCTAACGAAGGTCAGTTGTATTTATAGGTTTTCTGATTTAAAAAATGCATCCTATAGATTAGTTATTATTACCATTATCATCCATCATTCATCATTATTATTATTATCTTCATCATTATCAACATTATGTTTATTGTCATCATCACCATTATCATCATCAGCATCAACTTCATCAGCACGAGGCCATCATCATCCCGAAATCATTATCTTCCAGCACCATCATTATTGTCATTCATATCTTCACCATAGTCATTATTGCTATTATCACCATCAGCATCGTTGTTCATCATCATCATCATCATCGCCCATCATCATCATCATCCATCATCATCCATCATTCTTGATCATCATCATCTATTATCATTATCATCATTATTCACCCATCATTATCATCATCCATCATTCTTGATCATTATCATCATCATAATCCATCTTTATCATCATCATCTATGATCATCATTATCATCATCATTCATCGTCCATCATCATCATCCATCATTCTTGATCATTATCATCTATCATCATCATCATCATCCATCACCAACCTAAGGTTCTGTTATCTGATATTATTTCGTTCCAATAACTAGATGCATCCCAAGCAGCAGGCGTCAATAAAGAAACAACAGATTCTTCACAGCCGCAAGCACAACCAGAACCAAGCACAAGTGGTGAAAATACCAATTTAACTATTGATGGGGTTCCTATACCTGAAGGAGTCGACCCGTCATTCCTTGAAGCTCTCCCTGAATCTCTCAGACGCGAGGTACTTTCAGAACAGCTAGGACTACGCCCGCCTCCTCCCTCTCAGCCTTCAGATAATGCTAGTGGAGAGGCTTCTATGTCATCTGTTAGCCCGGAATTCCTAGCTGCGCTGCCTCCTGACGTCCAAGAAGAGGTAAGTTGCTCTCACAACAGACTGTTTTCGAATGAGTCAAATACCACTGTGTTTCTTGATCACAGACTTCATTTAGAGTTCATTTCAGTGTCCAAATATTCTCAATATTCTCATTTTATATGGTAAACGTTGTTCAATCTCACGACTGCCAGGTGTAGAACGTCTTAATTTAAATATATAATATATCTGAGAGCTGCAAAGAAATTATATTTTTTTCGAATATTTTCCCCCCATAATTTTTCCAATATTTCTTCCCCAATATTTTTTCCAAATAATTTTCTCCAATAATTTTCCAAATATTGTTTTTCAAATATTTTTGCCAATAATTTTTTCCAAATATTTTTTCCGAATATTTTTTCAAATATTTTCCCAAATAATTTCCCGGATATTTTCCCCATAACCTTACGTACAATATGTCTGTCGTACCTATTCTAGTGGTGATAACTTCGACAATAATTTCCTGTTTAATACTTAAGTCTATAACCCTACGAAGGCTTATCGCGGATTCCAGCCCCTCCATTCATTATGTTATGATGACGTTATTACAGAAATCATTATGTTTTGATAACCTTCAGGTTCTTCAACAACAACGATTGGAACAAGAACGTAGACGAACAGCCACTGCTCCACCTGATCAGCCTGTCGACCCAGGCGCTTTTCTGCGCAACCTTCCTCCATCTTTACGTCAAACTGTTCTTGCTGATATCGACGATTCTTTACTTAATGTTCTTCCTTCGGAAATGCAAACTGAGGCTCAATCGCTTCGCAGAGATAGAGAAGTCCGACAACAGAGATTAATGCAGGAAAGGTTCTCCCTCGGAGTAGGCGACACTGCATCTGCTATATCTGCATTGCTTCGCCATTCGGGATTATCTCGACGAACTGGAGGAGCCGGCTCGATTAATTTTCCAAGATACTTCTCGGCAAACTCGCGAGGTTTCAGCAACACTGGTCCTGGAGCTCGCGTCAATCACAAATACGCTGGCCGTCAGCTTCTAGACCACGAGGCACTTGCCTGCCTTGTAGTTCTACTGTTTATCGACGAACCAAGGCTGAACGTGGCACGGCTACAAAAAGTCTTTCGAAATCTTTGTTACCACGAGGAGACTCGCCGCTGGCTTATTAATACTTTGATAGCAGTTTTACGGAGAACTAGTGGTCTCAATGAAGACGATTCTTGTCCAATGCCCACTACAAGCTTATCAACACAAGTAGAAGCTACGTCAAGTGCCATGGTTATGTCACGTGATCCGTCACGTGGTGATAGCTGCGCCTCTGTTAATAACATCAGTGACTATTTACTGGTTAAAGGGGAAAAACCTATGGACTCGAGGAAATCCAAGCAGCCTTCTTGGTTGCGCATTGCTCTTGATTCGGCATTGGGCTCCCGTACGAATGTGTTTTGTATTCGAAGACAAGGAAAACTTGGACTGGAGTACAGTTCTCACATCAGCATTCATCAGTATGCTTCGCCGTTTATTTGTCGCCACGCTCTCGATGCTTTGTTATTCCTTGCTAAGACATTTTCTGCCAGTTTCATGCCTACGACAACGAAAGCCGTAGCGAGTTGTAAAATAGCGGACTCAACGGGAACTGAAAATCCTACAGAGAAAAGTACTAGCGAAACTTCTCAAGGCGATTCTGACTTCTGGGATATTTTATTAAAACTCGATGCTATGGGCCTTGGAAGTAAAGGAAAATATGCGGCTAGCACATCTGTCACGCAATCCACTGATAGTAAAAAGGAAGAAGAGTTTTCTGATGCACCTATTGGACAGCTACTTGTATTATTATCTCATCCTGTTATTGGAAAGAATGTCCAATTAACAGACAAACTGTTACGTTTGCTATCTGTCGTTTCTGCCTCGTTGCCCGATGTACCGGCCGCGAGTAAAAAGCCTGTAAAGACTAATCAAGTTGATGGCTCTAGTTCGACGGTTGAAGAAACAACTGAAACTCAAAGTGGACAAAATCTCGTGGTACCCCTACCACAGGTGGTTACACCAGAAGCAGCCAGGGCCGTACCTCTTGTCTTGGAGCCCAACGAGGAACACGGAACATCAGCCACCAATCTTACCATCCCAATATCTGAAACAGAATCTATCGCTTCTTCGCTTGTTGTCGAACGTTCATCTGAACCTGGTGGAGAACACCCAGAGTCGATCGATAGTGGTTCGGGTGACGAAGTGGCTACGAATCTGGGTCAAACAGAGCCGATGGTCGTAGAGGTGAATATCCCGCACGAGACAAACAGCGAGAGAATCGATAGATTGCCGTCTCTACTCTCATCTGGCGTGAGTTCGATTTCCAATCCAGACTTGCGCCTCAGGGTTAAACCTGAGAGCGAGCAGACTATAGTATTAGAGAATCACTTAAGGCTGGCAGTCAATGTATTGACTTCGGGATCTTGTTCGGAAGAGGGACTAGAGGATGCTACTAATCTCCTACTGCAAATATCTCGGCTGAATTTAGCGTCTCGTGATAGCATACTACGTCTGTTGCTAGACGGAGCTCGTAAGATAGGCGAGGTGCTCCGTGCTTCTATTAGTACCTTATTTATTGAAATAGTCGAGCACAACAAGAAGAATGTACAGAAATCCGATCCTGACAAAGAAGAGGGTAAAGGGAAGAAAGCATCGCGGATAGTGTTGCCAGAACCTCCTCGCCGACAGCAGCGTACGGCTCGCGCTATTCTTGGGCTTCAAGAACCTCCCACCACTGCTGCTGCTGCTGGACGTAGGCAAGCTGGTCCAAAACCAGTCGTGTATGAGCTACACTTACCATCGATGCCTCTATTAACCTGCAAGAAGTCTAGTCAGGCACTGCTGCTTAAAGTACTCAAAGTTATTCTACAGCTGAGAGAGGCTGCTAAGAAATCTGGGAAGACATCGGTTACTCGAGACTCACGAAGAGCACAAAGAAGAGGTAAAACTGCCTTGGTATTTAACTAGCTAAAATGTATTTTATATCGGGTGTCTCAAAGTTTTGTTTTTTAATCTGTCTATCTGTCTGTGAGTCTGTCTGTCTGACTTTCATCTGTTTTCTGTTTCTACATCTGACTGTCTGTACGTCTAACTAATCATCTGTCCGCCTGACAGCCTGTCTCTACGTCTTACTGTCTGTCTGTGCGTTTGTCTGTCTGTCTGTTTGGCCGTCTGTTTGTACGTCTGTCAGACTGTTCGTCAGTCCGTCGATCTCTGCGTCTGTCTGTCTTTCTGTTAGTCTCCGCCGCAGCCGTTCTTAGTGTCATCACGCAGAGAGAAAGGACTGTTGTTAGAATGTGATCAGCCGTTTGTGGGGAGGGAGCGTTGAGTTACGACACTAGAAACGGCTGCGGGAGAGACTATCTGTCTGTACGTCTGTCTTTCTGTACGTCCCTCTTTCTGTCTGTACGTCTGTTGTTCTGTCTGTACGTCTGTCTGTCTTTATTCATTTCATACCTGCGAGTTAGGTATTCGTTAACGATTGAACGCACACAAGTTTTCTAAGCCGCCGAGAAATAAATTAAATAATTTCAGCACCACATGACTTATTGGTAAGCCATCGTCAAATTGAAAGTTCTCGTGGTCTTGGTGCTGTCGTTGCAGCCTTAGAAGCAGAAGCCGAGGCCATTTTCGAAGTGTTCTCTAGCATGCAAAGCCAACGACGAGAAGATCGTGATGCAGAACGTGAGGTACAACGCAGTCAACCTGGTTCTTCTCGTGCTGCAGGAGATGGTACGGCAGCTGGAGGGCAGAGTACCAGTGATGCCGCTGAAGGTAAGAAGTACAGGCCGATCTTTATTTATGTGTTTTCCTCATTAGCATAAAAAAATTTCAAGCTACAAGCAAACCGACTCCAGAAATCGAAAGAGAATGTCTTATTTAGTAACCACTGCAAATGTGAGAGTAATATGTTCAATATTTTGAAGTAAATTTTTTTGAAAGCGGTATGATTTACAAAGAAACGTATGGTCATGTGGCAAGAGTTACAACACAACAATACATTTCTTTGTAATTTATTGTGCTTTCAAAAAAATTAAGTAAACCTGATGCTAAGGGTCTCTTATACGTTCCTTTATTCTTACGCATTGCAATATCATCTATTCTATTTTCCAGCCTCGCAACCAGCTGAACCCGAACCTGTGCTACCACTCTTAAGTGAACAACTTGCCCTTGATGACTTATGGGATACCTTGGGTGAGTGCCTGACAGAGTTGGCAAAGACCACGGACAGTCATGCCGTTCTTGTACTGCAACCAGCCGTGGAAGCATTCTTCCTGGTCCATGGATCCGAAAGGACAGTGCCCCATGCTTCACCCTCAGCTGGGCTTGATGTAAGCCAGCGTCTGTCGACCACTGGTCTCGATATGTTACCACCATCGTCACCAGGGCCTCATTCTCCAGGACCGCTCAGCCCCAGCAGACAACAGTCCGTGTCTTCTGTGTCGTCTGACTTGCCTTCCGACACCCAGAAATTTTTGAGGTTTGCAGGTACGTTAAAGTAAAAACTTTCTTCGATTTGATCTTCCTTCAGTGATTAAACCAGAGTTGGAAGAGTGTTCTCTATGCTTGAATGAACCATTCTAGTCCACCCTCCCTTAAAAAAGTAATTTATAGACGTTCATCAAATTAATGGTTGACTGCAACGTTTGAAAAACCTTTGCATATAGTACGAACCCAGAGTTGTCTCTGGTACTTAAAACTAGAAGTTTTTCATCAACTCATGTTTCCCACTCCCCCTAGTGTAAATTACCTCGTAATCCTTGAAGTACTCTTTAAAACAGTTATTGATCAGTTTTCTGTACAAGATTGAAATTCTGATTGGAAAACTGCTGCAACTTAATGCTGAAATCATCCTTTAATGCTGATAGCTGATCGCCTGGATTGCTATACTTTCTGCTAAACTCCTTGATGTTTTCTTGTCCAACAGAAACTCATCGCACTGTACTGAACCAGATTCTTCGTCAAACAAACGTCCATCTTTCTGACGGACCATTTGCAGTCCTCGTTGACCACACACGGGTTTTGGACTTCGATGTCAAACGTCGGTTCTTCCGTCAAGAGCTTGAACAAGCCGACGAGGGAATACGACGAGACGATCTTCAAGTTCATCTTAGACGAGATCAAATATTCGAGAACTCATTTCGCGAGCTTCACCGACGAAGCCCCGAGGAATGGAAGTCAAGGTTCTATATTGTGTTTGAGGGTGAAGAGGGGCAAGATGCAGGAGGGCTGTTACGTGAGTGGTATCTTATCATGTCTCGTGAGATGTTCAACCCCAATTACGCCCTTTTCACTACCTCTCCGGGTGACCGAGTAACTTACCAACCCAACCCTAGCTCTCACTGTAACTCTAACCACCTCAGTTACTTCAAGTTTGTTGGTCGCGTTGTCGCTAAGGCCATCTATGACAACAAGCTGCTAGAATGCTTCTTTACACGCTCTTTCTACAAACACATTCTGGGCAAGCCAGTTCACTTTACAGATCTGGAGTCGTTTGACTACTCATTCTACCAGGGACTGCAATTCCTTCTTGAACATAATATCAGTGAAATTGGAATGGACTTGACCTTCAGCACAGATGTAAGTACTTGAATGATTTTACCATATATTGGATTCATCTAATGCGATCAAGCCCTCTAACACGGATAAATACCAATATGATTGTGTAAAATATTAATCTTTGTCGCCCATATTACAGTGGTACCACCTCTATTAAGTACCTCTGTTAAGCGGCCACCTTTGGTACCTTGCCTGGTGTCCACTTAAAAAATAGAGGTTTGTTTTACAGTAAATAGGGTGGTACCTCTATTAGAAGGACACCTTCTGTACATTGCCTGGTGTCCGCTTAATAAAGGGTCTCCGCAGAATAGAGGTTTGTTTTACAGTAAATATGGTGGTACCTCAATTAGGTGGACACCTTCGGGACCTTGCCAGGTGTCCATTTAATAAAGGGTGTCCACAGAATAGAGGTTTGTTTTGCACTTAATATGTAAAGAAATTTTCGGGGCCCTGCAACTAGCTACCCGTTCAATGGACCTTTCTCACATGGCAGCCGTGTTCACCTGAACAATAGATTTGGCCCCACCTTGCCTCGCAAATCAATTTATGCGTTTAGACAAAGGTTTTTATTCCAGGGATGGCGGAGACGCGGGGTTTTTTTTTTTTTGCGAGAATTACCATTTTATTTCGCGTATTTTTTATTTATTTATTTATTTTTGATGGTGTGGGATAGTGAGGGGAGGGGAGGGTAGGACTGCAACCCCCCACTTTAAAAACTGTTTCGCCGACCCTGTATTCTCTCGAGAATAAACACGGCTCTCTGGTGAGTAAGGCCCATGAAGGGTTTTATTGAACCTGCTCAACAAGTGCATCAGTCGAAAAATCAATACTGTTCCTTTTTCCTTAGGTCCGAGAGTTCGGCTTATCAGAGATCCGTGATTTGATACCAAACGGTCGTAACATCCCAGTAACTGAGGAGAACAAGCGACAGTACGTGAAACTGGTCTGCCAAATGAAAATGACTGGAGCCATAAGAAAACAAATCGACTCGTTCCTCGAGGGATTTTACGAGGTCATCCCGAAACGTCTGATATCGATCTTTGATGAGCAAGAACTAGAGCTTCTGATATCTGGTTTGCCAAATATTGACCTGGACGACTTGAAGGCCAACTCTGAATATCACAAGTATAATGAGAACTCTCTACAGGTAGATGAACTTTAGTAATTCTCGATAATGCATTTTACAATAACTTACAAATTTCTCGCGCGCTGATTGGTTATTTTTTATCATCAATAAGAGAACAGACAGATAAAGCTGACGTCAACGAGCGCGCACTTTTTCCGTTGATTGTTTTGATTGCTAAAAATGAGAAGATTTTATCGGCTACGCCTCGTGAATCCACACTCCTTTGACAATGTAACACATAAAAAAACTAATGTCTATTTGTTAATTCAAACTAGTTATTCGTGTCCTGATCAGCCCTAAGGTTGTTTCAGGTTTGGATAACGATTTAAAGGAGGGTGAGGTCGAGGGTGGCTTAGCGGTAGAGCACTCGCCTCTCACCTCTTGGGTCTCGGGCTCGATCCCTAGACTTGTAATCACATGTGAGGGGATTTTGTTAGGTCTCTTACTTAATTCGAGGGTTTTTCTCCGGGTTCTCCTGTCTTCCTCCCTCCGCAAAACCTTCCTAGTTAAGTAAGGTTGCCGTAAGATTTCAGGCTATCGATAGACACGAAGGGTTTGAAAAAGTACCTGTAGCCTTTAAATTGACCATTAAATTGTATGGGAATGTATAGCTCTGTTATATACAAATTCTGATTCTTTTTATTAACAGATTCAGTGGTTCTGGCGTGCCTTAAGATCTTTTGACCAAGCTGATCGAGCGAAGTTTTTACAGTTCGTCACCGGTACCTCCAAGGTCCCATTACAAGGCTTTGCAGCACTTGAAGGAATGAATGGCTTCCAAAAGTTCCAAATCCACAGGGATGACCGTAATACAGATCGTCTCCCTTCTGCTCATACATGGTAAGCAAGAGAGAAGGTCCTGAAAGGGGGTGTCTTTATCCCATTTTCCTGCAGCACCCATTTTGACCAATCCCATAGTCCCGACCTATACTTTCCTCAAATCCCAATCTCATTCCCAATTTTTTTTGGTGAATCATCCCATTCCCAGTGCATAAAATCCCATTTTTCTAGCCCAAAAAGGCAAATCCCAGCTGAACATGGCGCGAATCCATCTTGACCTTCACAATTATTCTTCAGCTGCTGAGATACACTGATTTGATCGTGTGAAAACAGACACATTTTTCCAACGTCACCTCGGGCCACTTTACATATAGAAATTTTCACGTATAGGATTTTATATATAATTAATATATTGTAATACTTTCATTTCATTTAGTTTTATCTATAATAAATATATTTCTAATACCTATATATTATTAATTCATATCATTTTAGTCTTATACCCCATTCACGCCTAAACGTGTTTAGTTAAACTGTGTTTCATGAGGGGGAAAAAAAGAGAAACTAGAGACCTACAATATAATGAAACTTTCTAAAATCGGATATTGTCAGATAAGACAAAGGATAGTTTACATGCATTATTTCACCAAATATTGCGCAGTGTTCGTAGATAGTTTTCTAAACCTGTTTAGTTAAACCACTTTTAAACATGTTTAAGCTTTGGTGTGATTAGATAGGGGTATTAGATAGTGTCCAATTGGTTTTTAATTTTTTTTAATGTTGTTGTTATTGTTATTGTTATTATTATCATCATCATCATTATCATCATCATCATACTGAACTCTGAATACATTCGATCTTTCCTTACTGATCATCCTATAATACCTCTTTCTTTTAGCTTTAACCAACTAGATCTACCAGCCTACGAGACGTACGACAAGCTGCGACTGATGTTAAAGAAAGCTTGCGACGAATGCCCAGAGGGCTTTGGCCTGGCCTAATATTGCTCTGCCTACTACTACGATAACTACATCGACCTTTTTTTTCGTGGGTTTCAAAAGCAACCAAAGGAATACATTCTAGTTAGATTCAAGATCATCTGTAAAGATGTCCTAAATGTTTGTCTAAAAATCTAAAAATTCTTAATATAAAAACTCATGATTCAAGGAAACAGAGATGTTTTCTTTAATCCTTATAGTTCAGAAAAAGAAAAAGTCTAAAATTTCTGATGTGTTTATGAAGAGATGAACGCGTGCAAAATAACTTTCAGGCAAGTGCCATACCATTGGCTGGTAGAAATTTCAATGGCCTTCAATAAAATTAGATTGTTAATGCCTAACTGCGCATTCAGATTGAACATAGTGTTTTGGCGTAAAAGACCCAGAATTGCCAGGGATATCGTCATTGCTTTTGTACTAATATTTGACTCAACTCGAAATGAGTTTGTAGTTTGACATTACGAATAAAGCTTACCGAGTTTATTACATCCATTTTGAAATCACTACCAAATCCTGCAATCTGATTGGTTCCCTGCAGCAGTGATTTCAGCATAAATCGCACGATTTTGAGCTCTAAATTGCACGATTTTGCACATCAACTGATATGAACCAATCACAAGAGAGACATGTCATTTTCTAGCCAATTATATCAAGGAATCCATCTGAGTGTTGGGCTCAACGCTTCTTGCGAAAAAAAAGAGCCACGGCTCAAAAACATTTTTCTGAAGAACGATTTTACCGTCAAAAGTCGTAAAAAAAGACTGAAAAAGCCATAAAAAGGACTTAAAAAGACCAACTGATCACTTAAAATTGTCAAAAGCATCTTTGTAAAGTAACTGCTTAAGTAAGTTGAAGATATTACAGCGAAAAGCAGTGGGGGGAAAATGCAATCGGCATCTTTTGAATGTGACTTCTTGGCGATTGATCGTGGAAAGTGGTTTCCTTTCAATCTGTAAAGCATAACACATCGACGAAAATACAGTCATTAAAAGAAGTTTTTCTTAAGAAGAAGATTTTTGCTGAGCTACGTGACTTCTTAAGGACAACCGAAG